AAGCCGGCGCAGGCGGCTTCCACTTCGAACCCGCAGAGCTGACCAATGTATCTGTCGGAGACGTCGTCACGTTCGAGTTCTACCCACCAGACCATTCTGTGGCTCGGGCCGAGTTTGGAAGCGCTTGTGTACCCTACGAATATACTGGAAAAGATCGAATAGGATTCTGGTTAGGGACGCAATGGGTCAAAACACACAACGATGTGAGCAGTCGCACACGATTCAAACGATGCGACGTTGTCGACTAACAAAGCAGATTACCCACTGGAATTTGACAATCAACAGCACGGAGCCAATCTTCTATTACTGCGCCGCCCCAGATTCATGCAAAGGGAAGCAGATGATTGGCGTCATCAATCCAAATGCCACTCAGACGCTCCATGACCAGCAACTGGCCGCAGCTAGGGCCGACTACCAACTAGCACCTGGCGATCCCGTGCCCAACGAAGCCTCTTCAACCTTTGTCTCTTCACCGACGGCTAGCTCACAGGCAGAACTCGTATCTATCAACAAACCTTCCCCGAAGCTCTCTACGGCTGCCATCGCTGGCATCACAGTTGGTGTGGTTGTCTTTCTCACTTTGTGTGCAGGTCTCCTCTTCTTCCTCATCCGTAAGGCTCGCGTGGGGCACCAAACACCTGTTACATTACACAACCAGACCGGTAAGCAAGTAAACGAAGTTCCCGTCGAGCTCGGCGGAGCACCAGTGTACAGCCCTGTGTACAGCCCTGTGCAAAACAACCTTGGTCCACCTAAACTTTAGGCAAAAACATTGGTCGTCCTAGATCACTTGGCAACGAATTTTTCAGCTAGTTATGACCTATTTCTATCGGGCTAAGCATAAAACATTGCGGAGTAGTCAAACCTGATTTCCATCTCGTTTCATTCGTTTTCGGAAGTAACTAGAACATGTAATGAAACACCATTCTATTGTAGGAATATAGTACCTTAATGCCTATCTCATATATTTTCTCTCATTTTCCTCCGTATCGTCTCATGATCGCTCTACTACATTCAATCCTCTTGATACACCGCCTACGTTCATGCATATGCATCGCAGAAGGAAAACAAAGACAGACATGGATGATATGCATGTTGTATAGGGATTACCGAGCAATAACTGCCTCTCACACCATACGCTTCAAGATCTGCCCACCTGCACAGACCGTTCCTGGCGCTAGTAACTGGGAACGCGCACAGCCGTGATCGCAAAGGCCGTAATGGTAGCTGCCTATACACACGACCTCGTTCGCTGGGCTACATGGAATGCAGGTCTGAGATGCAGCTGGTAGGCTTCCTGCTACACCTGTGGGTGGTGTTGACCCTTGGGAAGCCAACGCCTGGGTAGCTTGAGCAACGAAAGCCTTGGCTTCGGAAGCTGGCATCCCTCCAGCAGCGAGAGCTTTAACTGGTGCACGGCTGAACCAGTTCAGGGATGCGGTCTCAGAAGCTGAATACGTCGGCTGTTCGTGTAAAACTGTGAGCGCGCTTGCCTGGCTGGGCGAGTTGTTAGATAATGCATCTGCTGGGCGAGGCGCCTGCAGCTCGCCACCGAGCGCAGTCATTGAAGCACACCCGGAACCGAGAAGCCCCGTGGTAGGTCGTGCCTGACTCCCGGTCTGTACAGCGCTTCCAGGATCTGGGAACGCGAAGTCAAAGTTCTCAATGGTTGAACACGCTGAGCTTGGTAAGTTAGCGATAAACATGTCGGGAAGGGACGCTAGAAATCCAGGGTCGGTTCCTCCGCCGCGGACGCTAATTGGGGCACAGTTCATATAAATTTCGCGGTTGCCTTTCTTGTTGAACCAGGTCCAAGCAAAAGTATAGGTACCACTGGGCAGCTCTTTTGGGAGCACAACCTCAAATGTGTCCGGGATGGGGCTCGCAGGACCTCCTAACAAATTCTCCTCTGCGGTAGCTGGGCACCCCCCAACCACGCTATGTATTACCTTCCACCGGCTGTTTTTGGTGGGCTGCAGATCTTCAGACAATGAGAATTGGCAGGATCCACCCCCATGAACTGCAGAGCCCACAAAGCGGATTGTTTGCGCTTCACCAGCCGTCCAACTGTTCATCTGCGTCACATCGTACACGCCCGGTCGAAGCTTTCAGGGGAAATCACTACCTGTGCCATCTAGTGGAGCATTGTTGAGCGTGGAAATGCCGTAAGGCACGGGGCTAACTAGTTTCACATGTGCAAGCGTGCTAGCAAATATTGTGCACGCAATTCCAAGCGATGCAACTCGTGTCAGCCGCATATTGAATATTAGTCTTGGCAGTGGACTGCAAGAATGGCAATGACGATTAAATATCTACGGTCAGCAGGTGAGAAAGCTGACGAAGGGGTAGTGGCTTATGAGTAAGCGCAGTGTGCCCACAGCCCTTGTATCACGGCCATTATCAGCGTAGATGTTTGCCCAATTACCGGATGAGCATCGAGATCATTGGGAGCCAATAATAGTGCATTCTTGACAATGCAATATGTCAGACGATGTGAACATTCCACGCATCGACACATATATAATTGCAGTTTGTGCATTAGTACTGGCTCGTTTGACACCAGCATCACCCGCTAACCTTGATAAAATGCAGCCAGCACTACCTCAATCTGCCATTTTAAATGAAGAGATGTTGCCGAAGAGTTTGAAAGATGAGGCGAAGGACGTGAAGAAGAAGGAGAAGGAGAAGAAGAAGAAGGAGGAGGAGACGACCATGGAGAACGTGAAAAACGACAAAGAAGATTACGTTACTGACAATGCGGAACAGCCTGAGCGTTCATGTCAAAGTTCAACTGCCATTGTGTCTCAAAAAGATGATGCGTTCGTTTCCGATCCAGCTCTCCAGCCCGATGGAGAGAATGTCAGAGTTCCCAAGTACCTAAAGGATTTCGCGAATATTCTAAGAGATACAGGAGAATTTCATAGAGTCACTATGAAGAACAATGTGCAAACACTTCAGAAGAACATACAGAATACGATACTGAACCATGAAATCCTGCCCAATCCACATATAAAAATCTTCAGGGAGAACATACAAAAGATACTCAGGCTTGCAAACAGATAACTAAATCAAATCAAATCGACCATGGGTCTATCCAAATCAAATCAAATTGAAGGTCAGATTTGATTTGATTTATCTGTTTGCAAGCCTGGTCATAGCAGCTAACACGCTGTTCCATTTAGGACGACTTGCGAAACGTAAAGTTCGCAACTCCTAGCCTTCGTTACTATCTATTAATGAACCGTCAAGATCACTAACTATTTTAGCTTAGAGATGACAGAGGACTGCACGTTCAGGTCATTCATACTGTATAGCGGTGTACAAAAGATTCATGTTTGGAGGCGTGATGTGTGATGCAAAGTCTGCATATCCGCACCAGCCACTGCGGCACGGTGCTTAGTTGTATTACTGTTGACGATTGGACTGTCGCAGTACATAATCACATCATCCACAACATAAGTACCGCATTTCCGAGCAGCGACTAACTTATATGATGCTTTGCGGGCTTGCACATTGGCTAAACAGCACGCGTGCTGTATTATCAGCGATGATCAAGCTATGCATCAACATATGCATGTGAGATTCTGTCGTGTAACTGTGGCTCGCCAACCCTCCAGTCACATCACTACACGTTTCCAATCTGAATGCTGATGTCCCTCCCAGCTATTCTTTCAAAACATCAGTAGATTGTCCAGGGGGAGTGGCGACCAAACAAGTGGCATGTTGTCAGTAGCGATTGCGGCTTCACCATACACGTAGCTGCGCAGCACACTTGAGCAGCCCCACAATTCGTATGTAACTTAGTGCAAAAGTCGGTTGCAGAATAACTGATTTGATTGGTCAATCCACGATCTTCTGATGACTGGGCTTTTGGAACGCTGTCCACATGAGTGAAGCTGCAAACGCTAATGACAGTAGTGCCAGTGATTGCAGCATGCAATCACCATAAGAGCCCGACATTGATAAGACTCTCCCCGGGAGGAGGGCTGTGCGGGGTGCGCAGTCTGATCGCCAACTTGTGCTTGCACTTCAACAAATACACACCAACACCTTTACCAAAAGGATACGCTGTAGCCTAGTACAGGCCCACCACTATGAATTCGCGAGCTTGTGATGATAATTTGGTAACCCTCACGCGCCAAAAAATCCTAAAGCTTTTAGGAGCCAACATCATCAACCCTTTTATGCAATCCGAGGAGGAACGCCACCCATGGAAAGTTAGTGAAACTCAGAAGCTTGACTTTCCACTTCTTCGAATTTGGGATGTCAAATCAGGGAGCTATCCCAATAGGGATGGCCGTATGCTATCGAGATCACCTAGGTTGCCTCTTATCACAGAGCAAGCTCGTAAAGACTTCCTTGCCATTCACCTCAATCACGGGATCTGGGTACCAACACCATACATATCCTTCACAAAATCAGCCAGCGCGATTGAGAATCTCGCAAAACAGAGAAGCACAAGACGAGGAAATCAGACACTCACTGTCATTGACCCCGCCACTCGACTTAAAAACGGTTTACTAATCCTCGATATCGCTGCTGAAATGGAGAATTATGATATCCCAGACCCTTATAATAAGGGAATGGAATACTACGTCGACCACTACATTTGTCTATGGGAAGTTGCCGCTGAAGAAATTGTTGGTCACTACGAGTGGGAAGAGCTCGCCGATAATAAGGACTGGTTTGATGATATCATCGCGCCAGATTTCCGTAAGTTTAAGAGAGAAAAGAAATCCCAATCTACTTCTACTCGTCTATCAGCGTTCGATATGTCCACGATCATGGAAAGTCTTTCTGGTCAGTCTTCACCCTTCTGGAGGTATGCACACAGCTAACCATCAAAGCCGCGCGCACATCCATTGACGCACACATCGAGTATCTTGAAGATTCAGATAACTCTTCCGAACATCACTATCTAGATGACAACTGCACGGACTCCGATGATGATGCAGAGGAGGCGAATCAGAACGACGATATGATCAAGGCAATAGAGGATCTCTAGTAAAGGGAGGATACACGCCGGTAATTCTGCCTTGTCTGTCCGGATAAAATCAATACGCACATCTCGGATCTGGCTGTAGCGCGCGTGGTAGACCGCCTGCATGGATGGGTTATTAAACATCATGTACGGAGCAAATGGCTGCCGGAACGTCATCGTCTCCCAGTCCACTTTATCCATGAACCAAGCATAGCCATGACGTCTCATATTGTCTTGAAACCCCAACCCTTCGCGTCTCCGCAGTCCGTCTGGCTGGTTGACATCGCTCTCTAGTCGTACATCATGCCAAAGGCCGCCGGCCCGCTGGATAAGGCCGGAAGAGTAGGAAAACTGGAGACACCGCAGAAACATTAGCATGACACGAGTATGTTCCCACGTGACGAAATGGTGGTCGTTCAGGCTGTACACCATCTCAAATCCAACACAGAACTTATTAACATTCCATCGTAACCACCTTACAAGGGTGGCGGTGAAAAAAGTATAGTATGGCGTATTACTATCTCGTGCTGATTGGAAGCGTTGTGTATGTAGCTGCCGTTGCTGGAATCGAGCGTTCATCTGACCGAATAATTGCCTCGAAATACGATGTTCCTCTCGTGTGCCAAAACACTTCTGCGCTGATCCTAATAGAGCATAGTGACAGCGGAGTTTGGTATAAAGATAAGCCCGGACTAACGCGACAGGATCATGGCTGAGGCCCGCTCCAACGTGTTGCCATGTCTTGCGTAACTTAGGGTCGAGTGCTAGTGTCTCTATGGCTGTGTTGGTAAAGGGATAGGCGTTCCCAGCAGCGAATATCTCCTTGATGCTAGAGTAAAACTGGCTATAGAGGAGCCCGTTCGTGCGGCTTTTCGAACTCCGATAGGTCTCGATCGTGAAACTTCCGCTGTCAATGTACTACATACGATCACTGGGCGCAGATTGACTTTGATTGTTTCATTACACAACAGCTGCTCTTGGCTTGCATGGCGGGGTAGCCATTTACATCCAACCTTGTGGCTCACCTGCTCTCGATCTACCATCTCCGTCTCTTGTCCCTTACTCAGCTATGACGTTGTGGAATTCCCCCGCCCCACTCTTCCCAGATATAGACCTCTTAGACGCGTACACATACATATCCATCGAGCCTTTGGTAGAGTTTACAGCCAATGGCAGTGAGTCGCCGTGCGCACCACTAGCTGTCAGCAACAGCCTGAGCATGAGCATGAGCATCAGAAGCTTGGCGCAGCTTGGCGCAGCTTGGCATGGGTAACGTGCTTATGATCAGCATCAGCATCAGCATCGGTTACTCAATAAGAAGAGACGATGATCGGCAGGCCAATCAACGTGAAGCGCAATCTCCGTGAGCAAGGATCTACCGGGCAACGTGTGCACGGCGACATTTATACCATAGGTGTAGTGAGTCTGACCATGATCAACTCGTCCAAGCTGTAGAATTTCCAGTGCAGATCGCTGTTTGCAGTATGTAGTGTCGTACCCGAATGGTGTTGATACTGCAAGCACAATAAGCGGGTTGTGCGTCAAGTCGACCCCACCTCTGATCGGAATCAGTGCTGCTCGGAACGCATGGACAGTAACGTTGAGCTCTGTGCCGCGTCCAGATAATTCAAGTTATACCATCTAACTAGTAGAGCAATCACTACTGATTAGATTGAAGATTGTTAGCGTCTTTGTGCATAAAGTTACCATAATCAGTTCGAGTCTCCGTCCTCGAATGCGATGAGCCGCACACGCAAGCTAGCAGCCTGGCCTTGTTCTTATGGGTCATCAAAACAAATGCCATCAATTGTCTTGACAATTTCAACGATCGATACATTGTTTAGAATCATGCGGCTCTTGTCCGCTCTGCCATGCATCTTAGAAATGGAGCGGAAATTCCGCGCCCTCACGCTGTAGGAGATGCTTCGATTTCCCACCAATTAGTACCATCATGTTTCGTTCATGAGCGCTACATAGCACAGATTTCTATTGATGCAATATCTAAATACACATGGAGTTGAACATGTGGAGTATCTCTAAGACGATTGCAGATAATCTGCGGCACTCACGTAATAGCAAGTGAGCTCAGGTGGTCCACATCCTTTGTGAAGATGATATTACACTTCGCGGAGAGGTGCTAGTTTGTATTAAGAACTGAATCGCGTTATGCCAATTATCAGAGCTGACTAGTCTCAGTCCGCTGCGGATCGATCATGCATGTTTATTAATCAACTGTTGCCTATCACAATCGGAATATACAAAGAGATACGATCAACCATCTTTTATCAGTAATTATGCGTCTCGAATTATAGTTGGCGCATGCATCCTGCACAGCTAATTCGCATCTTCGCTTAGTTCAGGTATAGCTGTGGCGTGGTACGAACCTACGTGTCCTGCTCTTAACCAATCGAAGCCCCTCGCACAGAGGCGAATATTAGTGATAGAGCTGTCAAAAATCAAGCCAGTCCAACTGGCCCGACCTAGTGCAGTAGTCGACAGGTTCGATCTTTGCCAACCCTACTTCACAGAACATCAAAAACGGATGTTCAACGAGCAAAAGACCATTAACTTTTAGTAACCACTATCTCACGTGCAAACATTCTATTGCGCTTGTTGATCTGTAAGCCAGCACAGTCTCAGCTTATGTCTATAGACGCGGAAAGCTCGTCACTTAGACTATCGGTTTCGTCTCATATCTGGCCACCTAGCATTGGTTCAACAGAACCAGAATGACAGCGCACTCAAATACTCAAAAGTCATCCTTCCGCTCCACCAAATCGATCAAAACAGTTTTCGCAGCAATGGACGTCTGCAAAGATCTCGATAACTTCGGCCATATGTTGAAACAACAGAAGCGCGTACTGCAGAACGCAAAGAAAAAGCAGGGACAATGTCCTCGAGACCGCAAGGGAAGAGAAGAGATGCTGTTAGAGTTCATGATGGCTTCGATGGCCACGTCAATGAAGCAAAGCAACCAAACACATATGGTACACTCGTCATTCGTTCCCGAAGCATACCCGCCTTCCACCGTCTCTGTCGACACTTTGAAGCCGCTATCAATCGGAGAACTTAGGCTCGAGACGCACCATCGGGGGACCTCTCTTCTGTTGCGCACTCTCACGCCGCCAAACCGTATGACAGGGATACTAGTGCTGGTAGAAGACCAAAATAGGGACGTCACCGTATTGCAGCTATATCAGCAGAGAGATGAGGACAGCCGCGCAGCCTCAGATATCATTGGAGAAGGTTCGATTCTGATCATCAAGGAACCATTCTTCAAAGTCATGGCATCTGGGGAATACGGTATACGCGTAGATCACGTTTCAGATGTCATGTTTCTTGACAATGATGATCCAAAAGTACCCCAGTCATGGCGACCACGACTATCTGAGATTGGAAATTCAGCGGACGCTTTGAAGCTTGAGGGGAATATTCTTATGGGACAAGGAAAGTACTGGAAAGCCATTCAAGTGTAAGCGTGATATGTGACAAAAGAGTGACTGCGCTAATATACATTGACAGATACTCAAATAGTTTGGCGGCTTCACATAACCTTAGCGAGATTGAAGTGATCAAGAGAAACAGGTCATTAGCATATCTCAAAACCCAGCAATACGACGCCGCACTTTCTGACACGGGTTTCCCAAACTTTGGCAAAGAGCTATCAGAGAAGACACTATTCCGTGCGGCAGAAGCGCTGTATCATCTCGCTCGATTCGAAGAATGTCGCAGCGTGCTTGAAACGCTTTGCAAGAAGTTTCCACATAACGAACAGGCGGTTACTGTTCTCCACCGTGCTCGTGGTCGATGTACCGAGAGCAGCAGCGGGGCTTTTGACTTCAAGCTACTTCAAGCGAAAGCAAAGAAGCATAGACCCCCACACATGGATCATGCTACGTACATGGGACCTGTGGAGGTACGAGAAACAGGGTCAAAGGGCCGCGGATTATTTGCAACCAAGTCGATGAAAGTCGGGGATTTGATATTATGCGAAAAAGCATTTGCTCATGCTTACATCGATGAAGTATCTCGCAGCAATGCAAGCGTCACATTCCTAATGAACGTTGAGACAGAAAGAGGATTCTTGGGCGGCCAAGCCGATCTCATTCGATTGATCGTGCAAAAACTTTATAGCAACCCTTCGACTACCTCTGAATTCACTAACTTATACCACGGCGATTACAAAGCAGTGGATGTATCTTTCGTGGATGGAAAGCCAGTGGTCGACACGTAAGCGCACCCCTTAGGAACTGTATAATCAGTGCACAGGCTGACAGTGTTTTTCCTAAGGTTTCTCGTCGAACGGACAATGGCTTTGAATGTTTTTGGCTGTCCTATATCAAGCTTGAACTGGCACAGAGACGTCATAGCCAACAGAAACAGGGCAAAATCGGAATTCCATTCATGTGCCATTTGGACCAAAGCTTCATACATCAACCATAGTTGTATCGGCAATGTTTTTAGATCGTTCATTGGAGATATGATGATCATACGCGCAGCCAAGGATCTGGAAGCTGGTACCGAACTGACATTTTCCTATGCAACTTCAGATGAAGCGACAAATATAGAGCAGAAGCTCAAGAATTGGGGATTCGCTTGCAGCTGCGCTCGCTGCGAAGATATCAAAAGCACCAAGGCTTCAGTGTTCGTCAACAGGCGAAGCTTACAGGAGCAATTAAGGAATCTATGTGATTCGTTCTCGGACGTGTACGACATCCCAACAAAGAAGATGGAACGGTTACTCAAGGCGCTCAATGAGACCTACACGCTTCCAGCTGAATGTGTACCCCGACTGTCGCTTTGGGAACCACAACTTCTACTAACCCGAATCTATATGGGCCGAGCTAACTTCGCAAAGGGATTGGATTCTGTTAGTAATATTCTCAATTCATTGGGATTTACATTTGCTGGATTAGATGAAACTTTAACAGATTTCGAGCTTACGAGATGGGGTCAAATGGTGAACCATCTAGTAGAAGTCTTCCTACATGCATGCACGGGGTTTTCAAAGCTGGGATTGGAGAAGAAGTCAAAGCAGGCGGAGCATTATGCAAGACTTGGATATCTAGTACTGGTCGGAGAATATGCATCGTTTGATCAGACGTATCCTAGGCCATAGGACAGGTAATTAGCCGAGACTTCTAGGGCAAATGAACCATCATCGCTAAATACTGTCATGTGTTATTATTGTCATATTGTCATTCTATTACAGTCTATCTACAGTTAGGGACTACATCTTCTTATATTCCGCCACCCCAGATCGTATGCAATGGCTAGATTTAGCTTATTAAAATCGCAATTGGTTCAAAGTTGATGCATGTAATTGGTGTACACCCACTTCACGTTCAGCCTGAGTTTTGTTGATTATTAAATTTGTTGAGAGAAAAGAAACCGAGCCGGTTTCGTCGCATCATAGAATGGGAGTGAGCTGCTAGCCTGTCGCCATCGTTGGCGCACGACGTTGGCGGCACTGTGAGTACAGAAATGTATTAGCAACCTGCAGATTATCGAACTGCCTACAACTCGAGACAGCGCCACGTCCTGCGGCTTCGTCGCAGCACAAACGCAAAGACCAATGGTCTCAACGACGACGTTAAGATTGGGGTCAGGTTGAAATTTGCGAGCGGCACAGTAGTCCGGCAACGCCTCGCACGCTGTGACCCTCCATATGCTACGTAGTCGGGAACAATTCGTTGGTGGCTGGTATAGCTTTGGAAATGCACACCTTGGGAAGCAGAACATGGATTCGAGCTGTTAGGCCACATCCTGATTAGTCGGAATGTGGCACGGTGGGAAGGATTGCGGCACGGCGGCTTAGGCTGAATCCTCCAAACTGCTTACGGGCCCGTGAGGCGTTAGCAGTTTGTAGGCATACTTAGAATCGTATTGCATAATGACACTAAGCCCAGTCG